AAAGCAGAGGACTTGTCTGGGGAGGAGGAGAGCAATAACTCAATAGGAGTGGGAGAGCAGGAGCTGGGCGACTACTTCCGGAGGAAGGAGCCTTTCCCTGGGGGCAGGGGGAGGTGCACGGGGTGAGGGTGCAGAGGCAGGTGGGATGGCAGCAAAGCTCCAGGGTAGGTTGTTCCTGGGGCCCAGGGAGGCTCAGCTGCATGTGCCTCCTGGACTGGGAGTGAGAGGCCAGTGGGGACACACATGGATTGTGGGAAATTCTGAACATGTCCTTTGCCAGGACTGAGTCTGGAACGTCCCATATGCTTGGGGAGCTTGCCTAGTGCTCTGAGGGCAGAGGAATGTCCTGGATTGCTGTCTGCTGTGGTGGGCACCCAAAGGAGCATGGAGACGGGCCACCGGCGGAACCAGCCAGAAACCAGCCGTGCCTGGAGGGTCGCCGGTGCCTTCTCCCTCTAAGGACTGAGGACAACCACCAGAGCTCCTGTGGCATCTCAGAGCAGAAAAGCACGATGTGGAGGGAAAGGACTTGTAGACATTTGAAGAAAGTTGTCTGATGAAGACAAAGAATGGACCGTGCGGACTACCCTGAAGGAAAGGGGGGGGCAGGGCTCCCAGAGCCAAGAGTCGCTGCTTTTTCCTTCCTGGGCCTCAGTTTCTGCATCTGTAACCTGGACGGATACCGGAGTTGCTGGGGGGATTAAACAAGATCACACTGAACATCTAGGACAGCACTTTTCAACCTTTTCATCTCCTGGCACACATAGACTGATTACTACAATTCTGCGGCACACCAAGAAATATATATTTTTTGCCAATCTGACAAAAGTATAAATTTGATTGATTTACAAAAAAATAATAATAAAAGTGATTTTACCTATACTTGTATTATAAGGTTTTCTGGTACCAAGAATTAACCAATAAGGCGCAACCTTATTATGCAATCCTATATAATAATCCTACATAATAAAGAGGTAATATGCAAATTGACCATCATGCCCTCGCACAAGATGGCCAGCAGGGTAGGGCAGTTGTGGGAGACCAGGCCAGCAGGGGAGGGCAGTTGGGAGTGAACAGGCCAGCAGGGGAGGGCAGTTGGGGGAGACCAGGCCATCAGGGGAGAGCAGTTGCTGGGGGGGAACAGGCCTGCAGGGGAGGGCAGTTAGGAGTGAACAGGCTGACGGGAGGGCAGTTAGGGACAACCAGGCCAGCAGGGGAGGGCAGTTGTGGGGGGTCAGGTCTGCAGGGGAGGGCAGTTGGGGGTGACTGGGCCGGCAGGGGAGGGCAGTTGGGGGCAATCAGGTCGGCAGGGGAGTAGTTAGGCATCGATCAGGCTGGCAGGGGAGTGGTTAGGGGGTGATCAGGCTGGCAGGCAGAAGCAGTTAGGGGCAATCAGGCAGGCAGGCAGGCGAATGGTTGGGAGCCAGCAGTCTTGGATTGTGAGAGAGATGTCCGCTAAGGGGTCCCAGATTGGAGACCCCTTGAATGAATTTCGTGCACTGGGCCTCTAGTGTAAACAATAAGATGCAACCCTAGAATATGACCTATATATTTATGGTTCAAGATCGGACAGCTATTGCTGTGTTGGCTGTTGTTCTTTTTTATTTGACAATCTTAGGGAAAAGGGGTCAGTGCCCCTGATAAAGAGTCAGGTATTGCATGCTTTAGAAATTCTTGGGGCACACCGGTTAAAAATTGCTAGTCTAGGGAAGTGCTTGACACCCAATAGTTGCTCAGTAAGTGGCTGATGTCACAATCATTAATAAAGTAAAGGGATAAAATAAGACAAGTAGCACTATCTCAGATCTGTGCCAGCCAATTTAACAGCCATTAGTCATAGGTAGCTATTTACAATTAATGCATCCGAATGAAATAAAATTAAAATCCAGCTCCTCAGCCATACCGCCCACATTTCAATGGCGTCCGTGGCTGCCACAGTGGGTGGGGCAGCGGTAGCAGCTCCACGGGCAGGGCGGTCTATTGGACGGCGCGGGGCTCGGTGTCTCCAAGCCACTCTCCAGCTCTAACACTTAACTCCCGACCCGCTTGTCCTTCCACAGCTTGTGCTCAGGGTCCTCAGGGAATCACATGTGCCCTGAGAGTCCTCCGTTAAACAAAGAGGAAGGGGAACCTACTGCCAATAACAACAACAAAAATGTTGAAAATCTAAAACCAAATGATACATTTCAAAATCCAATTAAAATTAATGTGGATAATCCATCATTTTTGAATAGTATATGTATGAAGACCCCCCTCCAGAGTTTAAAACTATTGTTCCTAACAGCCCTACTGGGGCAGGTGGGGGTGGGCGAGGCATTAGGGAACGGTTATAGCATAGCTCCGGGAGGTGAGAGAGGAGAGATGAAAAGGGGAAGAGTCCAGGAGAAAAAGTCTAGACACACAGGGACGTGTTCCTCCTTTCTGACTGCCTTTTTTTTTTTTTTCCTTTTTGCTTGGATCGGCCAACTTCTGGCCGAGGCTGGAGGTGGGGAGAGGAAAAGTGGTCTGCAGGGTCTTTTGGTCTAGCGCAGTGGTTCTCAACCTGTGGGTCTCGACCCCTTTGGGGGTCAAATGACCCTTTCACAGGGGTCACCTAAGACCATCGGAAAACACATATATAATTACATATTGTTTTTGTGCTTAATCACTATGCTTTAATTATGTTCAATCTATAACAATGAAAATCCATCCTGCATATCAGATATTTACATGACGATTCATAACAGTAGCAAAATTACAGTTATGAAGTAGCAACGAAAATAATTTTATGGTTGGGGGTCACCACAACATGAGGAACTGTATTAAAGGGTCGCGGCATTAGGAAGGTTGAGAACCACTGGTCTAGAGCAAGACAAGCCAGCAGGAGGGGGCGAGGGGACCTAGGAGCTGCCACCAAGGACAGCGGGCCTTAGGAGGCTTCCTTCCCTGCACCTGCCCGGTCCCCACCAGGACCCCACCCAGGACCTGGATGGGAACCTGGTGCTAACACATGGGCACATGAAGCAGGGGCCAGGGGTCTGCTCGTGGGCCGGCTGTGGCTTAAAAGAGGGAGGACGGAAGAAGGTACTTCCCAGGGCCTAGACCCCCAGCCTGGAGCCCAGACCAGGAAAAAAGGGGCCCTGGGGAGAAAGGGAAAAAGGGGGG